CAAAAACCTATGACTCAATAAGTTTCTCCTTCTTTTATGTGGTTCAGATAGAAGAATAAGACAAAATTGAGTAAATAATTTAATAATAAATGATAATCTTGTAATTATCAAGTTTGCATGACAGTTATAATGCAGTATCTATTAATCTCAATGAAATCAAAAGACATATGATTTGAAATTATCTAATTTAAGTCAAAAGCAAAACATTTCTTTGCTCAATCATTGTTGTGAACTTATTTTTGTATGATCCAGCAAAGATCCAAAGATTGGCTTATTCTGGGTGAAAAAAAAACAAAAACATTTTGTTTATTCAGGAAGTTACATATTCATGCAAGAGAATATCATTTGGATGTCGTTTTGAAGATGAAATCAATGAACCATTTCCAGAAGGTGGAGGTTTTTGACCCTCCCCTTCAGTGACTTAATGCAAATCTGCAGAGTCTTCAGAGTATTTCTGCCCTGCTGATTTATCTCTTATGTTGAGTACAGCATCAGCGGTCTTAGAGATTTCAGGATGATGAAGGCACTGACGTTTTTTATCCTTGCTCTCTCTCTGTCCTGTAAGTTTATTTGCTTCTTAAAGTTGTACTTGTTTTTTCCAATACTACTACTACTACTACTACTAATAATAATAATAATAATAATAATAACAACAACATATGAATGCTCTCTGTCCTTTATTTTAGGTTCTAAATGTCAAAGTATGGAGTCCATTCCTTCTAGTGCAGTGGTGAAAACCTCTGGAGGGACTTTGAGTCTCTCCTGCAGAGGATCTGGCTTCACTTTTAGCAGCTATTGGATGCACTGGATCAGACAACCTGCAGGAAAACCACTAGAGTGGATGGGATTAATCTACAGTGATGGGAGTAGAACATCTTATTCCAGCAGTCTTCAGGGCAGAATTGAAATCACCAGAGACAACAGCAAGAACATGGTGTATTTAACACTGTCTAACTTACGGCCAGAGGACTCTGCTGTGTATTTCTGTGCCAAGGACCCACAGTATTCAAGCTTGTATGGAAGACTGAACAAAAACCCCATAGAAATATCTGTATATTGACCATAAGGTGGCAGTGTAGACTGAGACCAGATAACCTGGAGTAAGCAGTGCCTTCAGTATGTGGATATCATGAAAGCAACATATTGTGAGCCTTCTTACTGAATTATTTTTGCATTGTGAGTAAAAATTTTCCAAAGGTTTAAAATTTGGGAAGTTTTTTTGCCCTGTGTGAAGAAACTCATTAAATATCTTATTTTTGCTCAATTTGACTCTTTTGAGATGCAAGGAACACATTGATCTCATTTTCTCTGTGCAGATTATTTATATTTCAATTTTCCCAAATCTTACAATCAGTATGGAGATATACATTGCTTTTTCCGATGGAAGAACTGAAACACCTTCCAAAAGGTCAAAAAGTCAAACAAAAATGAGTAATAATTTTGAAATGGTATGGGAAGGCTTACTCCTTAAATGCCTGATATTCAAATGGAGGTTAGACTTACACTTTAATTGTATATCATGCAGACACAAATGTATAAAACTAATCACAAAAACAAGAGACAGCAATTCATGAGTAATGAATCATTGAATCAAACAGTGACCAAAAGTATCCCAGTGAGAATATGTGGGATGTGGAAAAGGAGGTGGTGTGTAACAGGGGAATACAAACATGGCCATTATTTAAAGTCAAAAAGCTTCACAAAAACTACGATGACATGAACTGATTTAACATGAAGCAACAATAGGCCACTGAACATTTTAAATGCATTGCCATTAGAGCAAAGCTTTTAGTTTTAAAAAATATCCTCTGAGCTGTTTACATTTTTTATCCAGTGAAATATGTCTATATGAATATATTAAGGTTAATACACATGAATTGTTAGCACTTCTAGAATAATGTATTATTATCTGATTTATCTGTCTTTCAATATAGGAATAGAGACAAAAGGATATGAATCTGAGTCTTGTTTAAATGCAATAATTACTAAAAGGATTTCATTATCTGGTCAATAATGACATTCCGTGCAAAAGTACATTAAATATTAACCTTATTCCAAATGTGTACATTTCATGCAAATACAAATATATACAAACAAAATGTTTTTTTAGTTAAAATTTCCCAGAAATTAACATTTTAACTAAAGGTATGTATGACTTGAAATGACTGATTTCATATAAACCGTTTCTTATTATCCTGGAAAGCGCAATTTAATTATCTTGTCATTTCATTTAATTTTAAGTTTGTTTTTTTGTTTTTATAGAAAAAGAAGCAGGACGATAATGTGCATCTCTCACCATTTACTATTTCACTAAACACAATGAACTGAATAATTCAAATCTAAAAAATATATTCTTGATTAAATCTTAAGTAATTATTAATAATTTTAACAGGTCTAATCTTGTGGTTTTCCCCTGAGGAGGAGCTAATGCAAAGAATTGTCTTCCTGCTCTATTTATATCCAGAGAGAGACAGAAAAACAGTTAAACATGATGGACTGCAGGTCAGGGCTCCTGGTGTTCACTATCCTGTTTGCAGGTGAAAAGACTAATCTATCTTTTCTTTAACTTTCTATGTGTCTCATTAGTTACTCACACTTCTGTTTTTGTAGGTGTTACTGGACAGACTCTAACAGAGTCTGAACCAGTGACTAAAAGACCTGGAGACTCCCACAGACTGACCTGTACAGGCTCTGGATTCACATTCAGCAGCTATCCCATGAACTGGGTCAGACAGGCTCCTGGAAAAGGACTGGAATGGATCGCTTTTGTGCACACGTATAGTTCCCATTTTTATTATTCCCAGTCTGTCCAAGGCAGATTTACCATCTCAAGAGACGACTCCAGCAGCAAAGCATATCTGCAGATGAACAATCTGAGGACTGAGGACACAGCAGTTTACTACTGCGCCCGAAGAGACACTCTGAGAGATGTAAACAGGAGACTCATACAAAAACCACTTCCTCTATTATTTATCACTGCTAACTGTATTTTCTATATGGACCTCCAAGAACTTGAGCTCTATAGAAATTATAAAAAATAATAAAAAGCAAAAACAGCAAAAAAACAAAACAAACAAAAAAAAAAACAGATAAAACGTATTCCTATTAATATGTAGGGATGCCTACATATTAATAAAGTATGTAGGCATTCCAGCACAATTTTTTTTCACCAAAAAATGTTTACATATAGCTTTAATTTTATAGTGTATACAATGTTGTTTTTACTTATTCTGCAGTATATGTTTTCAGTTAAAAAGTACATATTTTCCTCTCTTGTGTCGATGCAGAGTGAAGGTTATGCTGAGAACTGCCGATCTCACAAGAGATAAAATATAAACACGTGGAGTTCATTAACACCAACATCAAAAAAGCTCATTAAGATAAATAACAATACACATCATTTTTAAATAATTCACTCGTCAAGCAGGTTGGGAGAAGATTGGTGACTCCTGAAGGGAGGAGCTGAAAGATCACTTGAGAAACAGTTTGACCACAAATTGACTTTGTAAAATCATCATTCCTCCGCAGAGCAATATCAAGGACGTTTCTCTCTGTGTCAGTTTTAAAAGCAGCACAGTGTGACATTTACATATTTACAATCTCCAATCAAGACTAGGGTTATTCAATTCTCACCATTTTCTGATGCAAATCTCTAGTCTGTGTGGTGTATTTCTGTCTTGCTGAGGAGACTCACAAATCTACTTTGAGCAAAGCATCAGAGGTGACATCATCAAGATGAGGAGATTCACTCTTCTGCTGCTGTCTGTCACACTGCAATGTATGTTGTCATACTTACTTCAGGTTTATCTCATAAACATTCTCCTTTTTAAATATTTTTAGATCTTTTTAAGTTCTTTCTTTTTAACAGGTTGCACTGGTCAGAATATGGAGTCTATGCCTTCCAGTCCAGTGGTGAAAAGACCAGGAGAAAGTCTCAGTCTGACCTGCAGAGGATCTGGGTTCACGTTCAGCTGCTGTGTTATGATTTGGGTCAGAGAAACTGCAGGAAAACCACTAGAACTGCTAGGCACCGGTTTCTCTGATCCAAGTAGGAACAGCTATGCCAGCAGTGTGAGAGGACGTGTTGAAATAAGCAGAGAAGACAGCAATAGCTTGGTCTATCTGCGCCTGTCCAACCTAAAACCAGAGGATTCTGCAGTTTATTATTGTGCCAGAGTCAACACAGTGGTTCATAAAGTGGAGAGGCTGTACAAAAACCCAACATAAGCAATACAACTACAGCAACAGCTGTTTGGTTTGGGAAATCCTGTTTTTCAGTTTTTTCTGAACAGGTGTTTTTATCATGCAAATTGATAAGATGAACAATGAGTACCTCAATTTCAAAAATGAAAATTAAATATTTTTCTTAGATGAAGAGATATATTCTGAAAGTTTTTTTTTTCTTTTCTTTAATTGAAAGTACTGAAGCTTTTAAACTGCCAGAGCTTTGAAAAAACTTATGGCAGCAATGTTTTTTTCAAGTAGGACCTCCATCATTAGATCAAAATACAAAACTTCTTAAAACAAGAATCGTTCTGGTCTTTATGTGAATCAAAAGGATGTTACGCTGACAGATTACACCTTCTTAAAGAAACCATAAAAGACTGTTTTATTTCCCAGTCTTCTCATTTGACTTTTTATAAAACACTGAAACGTCCTGGGAAATGCTACCGTTTTACTGTTACAACCTTTCTCATTTACAGGTTTAGCAGCTTGTTGATAGTCATTCTATCAAAAAAAGTCATATGGGTAGTGGTACCACAGCCAATGTCCATCAATCAATTGGCGACAGGCTGCACTGTATCAAACAGCCAACATTCAGGGAAATTCAGACTTTTCAATTATCGTAACATTCATGACAGACGTGAGACAAAACCTGAGTATAGACAGTGACAAGATAAAATCTCCACATACAAAGGACCTGGCGAGGAGTGGAAATGCAAATTTCTCCATCACTCAGCTATAAAGACCTCCCCAGACCATGTTCTTTACCACAGATCATGTTCCGACTAATTCTGCTGCAGCTGCTTCTGGCAGCAGGATGTGAGTGTTTAGTTTTCATAAACCACTTGATGGTATTTTGCACAAATTATTTTTCAAAAACTTGTTTTTTTTTGTGTGTTTGTTTTTTTTTTCAACAGGTGTGAGGTGTGAACATCTGACACAGCCATCATCTGTAGTTTTGCAGCACGGCCAGCAGCTAGCCATCAGCTGTCAGGTCTCTTACTCTGTGGGTAACCATCACACTCATTGGATCAGGCAACCACCAGGAAAAGGGCTGGAGTGGATTGGAGGGGCTCGTGTTGGATATGCAACATACCAGAAAAGTTCTCTAAAGAACAAGTTCAGCTTCAGCTTAGAGTCGTCCAGCAACACAGTGACTCTGAATGGGCTGAATATGCAGCCTGATGATTCTGCTGTGTACTATTGTGCCAGACAGTCACACTGATACAAATCATTAGAGCAGCTGTACAAAAACCCCACCAAACCTGAGCAGATTATGAAGGTAGAAGCATTCTAGCTTTTCACCATACTTGTGATCTCAAAACTGGCTTACTGTTTTGCTTTTCATTTTATTTAGCTTTATGTTTTCGTTCATTTTAATTTAGCCCTTTATGGTCCTTTTGAAATTATTATTTAATGTATTTAATGTTTAGGTTCAGTTATTCTTTCTTTAGTAATTCTAGTTAAGTTATTTTTTTCGTTTAGGTCTTCTAGTTCATCTCGTTCTATGTTTCTTAATTCTAATTGTTAGATCAGCCTTGTTTCCATTTAGGTTTGGTTATGGGTTCCCTCATATCTTTCTCTCCTGGTTCATCAGGTTTTCTTTACTCTTAGTGTCTTTTGTATTTGAAGTATTTTTCGGCTCCTCATTTCCACCCTTTTGAGTTCCCCAGCAGATCTCCTTAGTTTCCCTGTGCCATCTTCACTTTTCTACAATCACTTTTCTACAGTAGTCATGAGGTGCAAACCACCTCAACAAATAGGTCATTGCTCCAGTTACTACCTCTCAGCTCCTCTTTCTCAGTCACAACTCGCCTGTCCGTCTTGTTGCCCTGCTTGTGTCTATGCTTGCAATTTTCCCCTTGTTCCTCAGAATCTCTTCGTTCTTAGTTTTGGATTTGCTTTGGTTTGTTCTTGTGTTTCCCTTGGATGTTCATTTTTTATAAGTTGGACTCTGAGTTTGTTAATTAAATTTTTTAAACTCCACCATGTCTTTACCTGCTGCTTTTGGGTCCATCACACCACCTCATGATACTGACAATCAAATGTTGTCTTCTAACTGTGGACAGTAAAGGTGGGAAAATGTATCAACTGCTTGTTTTAAAAATGATAATCACTGAAATCCACAGAATGGACTGAAAACAAAATCACTGATGTTTAGCATTAAAAGGAACAATAAAAATGCATCTGTGGATGCTACCAAACAAAGCCAATTCATTTAATTGTTTGCTTGACGATGGAATTTGTTTCAACTCATTTTATTGATACAATGTCACTAAACAACAAATAAAAATCACTGAGTACTTTGAAGAAAAAATAAATGTCAAATTACATTTTATTCAAGTTGATGAAAATACAAATACAAGGTGGTTTGATGCAATCAAATCCATTAAAAAACAGAAAGCACTGAATTGGTGAAAAGGTTCTCCCTGTTCTCTGCAATCCCTCTTTACTTGAGTATCTTCAAAGCCTGACATTGCAGAGACCTCAGACACGCCCTCTGACAGATATGATGCAAATCTGCAGTCTGGTCAGGGTATTTCTATCCTGCTCATTTACTCGTCTACTTTGTGAAGATTATTCTCTAACGTTTGGATGATGAATTCTCTCAGTATTGTGCTGTTTGTTCTCTTTCTCCCCTGTAAGATATCTTGCTTCTATAAGTTGTGCAATTTCTTTGACAATTTATAATTGTCATTAATTACAGAAAAATGTCATTATTTTTTCTATTCAGGTTTTACAGGTCAGAGTATGGAGTCCATTCCTTCCACTCAAGTGGTGAAAAAGCCTGGAGAGACTCTGAATCTTTCCTGCAGAGGATCTGGATTCACATTTAGCTGCTGTAGCATGCACTGGATCAGACAACCTGCAGGAAAAGGGTTGGAGTGGATGGGACGTGTTTACAGCAATGGAGGAACAAAAGAATATTCTAGCAGTTTTCAAAATAGAATAGAAATCAGCAGAGATAACAGCAACAATCTGGTTTATCTGGCATTTCCCAACCTAAAGCCAGAAGACTCTGCTGTTTATTACTGTGCCAAACACGCACAGTGTTAAAAGTAGGTGGAGAGGCTGAACAAAAACTCCACAGTAAATATTCTTAGGTTGACCTTATGGTGGCAGTGCTGACTAGGAACAATATATTGATAAATCAGAAGTTGTTCTGCATGAAACACCAGCTGATTTTGTTAGTTTGTCCAATAATTAATTTTCCAACATACATTTGTTTATAATTGAATCCCATTAAGTTAAAGTTATATGTTTTCTAATAAACTTTAACTTTCCCTTAAATTAGTAACTTTTCATAATTGCACCTGAATTTTGTTAAGAAAATTAAACTTTCTGTTCCACAGACACTCCTTGTGAGGGACATGCTTAAAAAGACATTATTACAGTAAACAAAGTCTATTGGATTATGTCAAACTGTAATGGGAAATTAAAATACAAGATCGTAGGATAGTGTGGGCATGCTTTTCTTCTTGGAACCTGTGAGCTTTGTTAATTTCCACGGCCTTGTGATGTCTTTGAAAAGTGCCAGAAAACTGAACACTGGTGCTTATTCAAAACATTTTAGCAAATCCACTCAGAAAGGTTCTCTAAACACAAATGGAAACTTTTTCATGCCCATCTCAGTCTCAAGAGCTGAACCTTACAGAAATTAGAAAGAAATTATAATGACAAGAGTCAGGACAAGTTGTGATTGTGCAAAGAATAATGGTCTCCTTCCAAAAATAGGTCAAATTTTAAAAAGAAGCTTAATCTTTCACAATCAAAGGTATTATTTTGTTTTTATGTCATTACTCCTTTTATGGTTTGCAAAATATTCACCACACAGTATATAGACACATTACGTACCAAACAGTAATACAGTTTTGTATCAAAATGTCTAATAATGTTTAAGAATATATGTGCAACTTCATCTATGATGAGTTTCATTTGTCCCTTGAGGTGGAGTCAATGCAAATCTCTTTCATCTCCTCTCCTTCTTATCTGGCTGCTGGGAACAGAGCAAAGAACAGAGAACACTCTGGTTGAAATGATGACTTCTAAGACAGGTCTTCTGTTTTTAACCTTTTACCTGGCAGGTAAAAGTTTACACAGCTTTTGAGCTGAAAAATATATCTCTGTTACAGTCAGACAAGCTAAATAAGTATTATATGTTTATGTCAACAGGTGTTGGTGGTCAGACTCTGACTGAGTCTGAACCAGCGGTTAAAAAGCCAGGAGAGTCCCACACCCTGACCTGTACAACCTCTGGTTTCACTTTTGGAGACTATTGGATGAACTGGGTCAGACAAGCACCTGGGAAAGGCTTGGAATGGGTTGCAGCTATCAGTTTTTGGGCTGGAAGTGACAGACGCTACTCTCAGTCAGTCCGAGGCCGGTTCACCATCTCCAGAGACAACAACAAACAGCAGGTGTTTCTGCAGATGAACAGTCTGAAAACTGAAGATTCAGCTGTTTATTACTGCGCTAGGGGTGCACAGTGATCAAAGTTGGTTTGGTAGGTATACAAAAACATGCAGCAACAAGTTGACAAACTTCAAATTTAATATCTAAATTTGCTGTAATGAAAGAATATTTTCTTTCCCCTCCATGGATTAATAAACATCTGGCAAACCGACGAAGGTATTTTTCTTTTTTTATTAAAAATGCAAGAAAGTATGTATGAGGTAAAAAAAATAAAATAAAAGTGACATAAACACAACAAACAAACAAAAATTAATGTTTGCCTTCAAATTTTGAAAATGTAGACATACAGAAATTTGTTTCTACATTCACTTCCTTTCTCCAATGAGCTGAGCTAACTTTTAAAGTAAACACCCACCTCAATCCAACAGTGTTAATGTAAAAACCATCAGAAATAATTTGGCTATTTGACCCACCCTCTCATGCAAATCAGCAATCTGTTGAAGTACATCTGCTCTCTGACTATTCTCACTTCATTTGCAGAATCAGAAACCTCCAGCTTCAAGACAATGAATATACTCAGATTTGTGTTACTTTTTCTTTCTCTGTCATGTAAGATATTTTGCTTCTTTACTTTATTTTATCTTTATATAGCTTCAGCTTTAAATAAGGTAATAAATGCATAATACTTTGACATTCTCTTTTTTCTAAATTAGGTTGTAGAGGTCAGAGTATGGAGTCCATTCCTTCCAGTCCAGTGGTTAAAATCCCTGGAGAGACTTTGAGTTTGTCCTGCAGAGGATCTGGCTTCACATTTGGTTCCCATGGCATGAACTGGGTCAAACAGCCTGCAGGAAAAGGACTTGAATGGATGGGATATATCTATACACATGGAAGTAAAACAGATTATTCCAGCAATTTTCAAGGTAGAATAGAGATCACCAGAGACAACAGCAACAGCCTGGTGTCTCTGAGACTGTCCAATCTAAACCCAGATGATTCTGCTGTGTATTACTGTGCCAGAAGAGCACAGTGATCAAAGTGGGTGGAGAACCTGAGCAAAAACTCCACATGAACAGCTTTCACATGGTCCACTAGGTGGCAGAAAGAAGAATAATGCTAAATCAGTGGAACGTTATTTCAACACAGAATGAGTTATAAAACATGTACAGATATCCACACCTTAAGGAAAAGGATATTCCTTAAGGTGTAACAAATAACAAGCAGATCTTTAGTGTGAGTAGAAGCGCTCCAAAGAGAGAACATGCAAACTCCACAAAGAACATTTGTGGTCAAGGGTTGAACCCAGAACCTTTTCGCTGCAACACAAAACTACATTACTGTGGCAGTAAAATTATCAGCACCCATTCATTTTCTTGGCAAAGGAACTGAAGGAAACCAAATCATGGATGTGAATAACATGCAAACTCCACACAGAGAGAACCTTGTTGATGATTATTAAGAATTTGTAAAGCACAGAATGGACTTTTACAGCCTGATGATGGATCCATCCCGGCCCATCACCATTAAGTAGATAAATCACTTGCTGGCTGACTTTCCCTTCGTACATAAACATGCACACAAGGTAATTCCAGGGCACATAGTTCTGTTTTCTAGAGCAAACATCTTTGAAATGGTACAAATACAACTTACAGCTAACATTTCAGCAAGAAATGGAGTATTGACTTGTTTTAAACCAAAATTCCCTAATATTGAACTTAAGACTAAAAATTGATGGGGTTGCACACTGGTGTATTTGGTTGCAGCCTTGCAGCAGTCAAGTCCTGTCTACATCAAATTTGCATGTTCTTCCTGGGCATCCGGGAGTTCTCTCTGGGTACTTTGGCTTCCTCCCTCAGTCCAAAAATATGACTGTCTCTCTACATTGTCCTTAGGACTTTATGTTTGCATACATGATTGTACACAGACTTTCATCATATAACCGGTGGATCTAGGCACCAGACCTCTGGTGACCCTGAGTGTTCAGATAATCAATAAACAACTTTACACAAAAATTTCAGAAAAACATAAAGCTAGAACCCTAACATATAAACAAGTAAACAATTCTGTGGAGTTTTGACTTAAATAATATATTTCAACCAGCCATTTTGTGAATTTGTGAATATAATAGAATAATATTTATAATCGTAAGGCTTACTGCTGTTGGATATTATTTTGACTGTTGCCCTGTGGTTAGGTTTTTGTCAGAGGGCTTGTCGCTGTGATGGTATATGGGGGGCACAAAGATATACACCAATACAAAAACCTCACCTCAAAACTCTGAGATTAATCTGCTTAAAAGACAGAGAAAAACACTATAATTTATAATTTATGCATTAAGTAAGACAATTGTTTTTGTTTTAGTTTGCTAATTTACTTCTACTATTTTTAATCTACTGTTTAATATCATATAAAAAACATATTGCATATAGCCTTGTAATGTTTTCAGTATAAAAATCAAATTAAACTCAAAGTTTATTATAAACTTTTCATACAAATTTGAAAGGCTTAATCTGCTTTATAGGATTAATGTATATTTTTCTGGCTATATGAGTTGTTACATTATTATTTTTGTTGCTTCATGTTTTTGTTGAGGGAGTCCATTGAGATGTAGCACTGTGATTGGGCTTTTGACGTTTGGGGTAAAGGAACCACAGTCACTGTTGAACCAGGTAAAGTCATTTTAAAATATTATTTATGTCTTTGTAATGTTGATTGTGTTTTCTTATTCACCCTTGAGTTTTATTTCAGACAGATTATGGAAAGAAATGTGTGGTACTGGCATTTTATCTTGCTTCTGGAAAACGATACAGATACGATATCGTGATAGTATTATTTATTTAATTTTCTAAATAAACAGCATGTCATCTGTTTAAAAAATAAAATAAGTATAGTATTAAAACTTGCAAATCTTGGAAGTGATTTTCCAAGATTTGGCAAATAGTGTTGTTGTTGGTGAGATAGGTTTGAATACCATGAATTAAATGAACAACAATTAATATATGAAGAGATCCAAACTTACCACGTCACAACTGATTCTCATTTAGTACATTCGTGCTCTACTGAGATAAAAAAAAAAAGACAAAACATTTTATAACATTATATAATTTTTGAACATTATAAATAACTGTTAAAAAATCAAAACAATTGCAACACAGAATCATCAGCAGGGAACATCAAGGTGCAGTTTCCCGTTCAGTTTTATTTTAAAATAATCTGGCTGCAGTTGTTTCCTGAATATTCTCCCTTGTGCCTATTTATTTGTGTTGCACTTTTATTCTTATCAACTGGGATTTTTTTTAAGGATTTAAGTTTCAATTTACAGGAAAAAAAATCTTTAAAAAAAGTTACTAACGCTTTAAAGAAAAAAAAGAGTCGCGAGTTCGGAAAAAAATATATAGCCTAAATACATATATATATATATAGATATATCGTGCTGTTTAGTGTGAAGTTTAAAAAAATCGAGCAGTTCTATGGATAATTTTATGAGGGAGCGACGTTAGGCTCCAATACACGTAAAGGACCATTTTACTGTTTAATCTTTCATTGAATTGTTTGCATGATTTAGTTGGTACGTTCATTCTTTCTGTAATTGTTATAAACACTGTTCGTTTGTAACATAAATTTAAGCTGAATATTATGACATTTCTGTAATCGCTACAAGTTGCGTCGTTTCATATTATTCCTCTGGTTCTCCGTGGTTCTTAGATTGAAATAATATTACCTCTTGAAAAAGTGTTTAGAAAACAACTGCTTCCAAAATAGGGCCATCATTTTATTTTATTGTGCGGATCTCCCCACAATAAAATTAATTCTTCTCATTAGATCTCTTCGTATTTTACACTATAAATTCCGCGTAAATATACGAGAGATCCAAACGACTGGAAACACCGAGGAACTCCGAATCTCAGTTTCTCCGGGCGGTTCTGGTTCCGCCTGCAGAGACGGAGCCATTCTGAGACAGTTCTCAGTTTGAAAGCCGCTCTCGCTGATAGATATTCCGCAGAAAGAAATTTAAATTCAACCTGAAGCCAAAACCAATCTGCGTTCAATACTTGGACGGTTTAACAATCCACTGGAGACACGGAAATAAAAAATCACTAGAAATGATGTGAGTATTTTGGAATAGAAAAGAAATAACCTCACAGTCCCGCAAATGGAAAATACAGGATAAACAGCATAATCAGGTAAATATGACATAATAATAATAATAATAATAATAATAATAATAATAATAATAATAATAATAATAATAATAATAATAATAATAATAATAATAATACTGTGCATTCATTAAAAATGAGAATATTATTTTTTATATTTGCAGTATATTTGAAATATTTGCAGTAAGAAATATGTCTCCCGTTTTTTAAAAAACAGTAGTTTTACTTACTGAAAAAAAAAATAATAAGTTGTTCCTGTTTGGAAGGTCAACAAAAAAGAACTCTAACAAATCACTTCTTATCTATATTCTCAATATCTCAGCAAATATAGCATTTTATTTAAGTGATTTATGTGTTTTAAAAAAGAAAACATCACAAGACAATAATATTTTCAAAAGAACAATTTATATTTATTTCAAAGTCTTAAAGCAGAGATAAAATCTTAACCTTTTATTTAACCTATAGTTCCTATCCTCATAACAGCGTTCTGAGAAACTCATGGTTCCGTTTCGTGGTTTGTTTCTTTACAGATGGTTCCGCTGAGACTCCGTCCCTCTTCGTCCTCAGTCCTGTGTTGTCTCCCGACGACAAAGGACTGAAGACAGCAGACGAGCTCGGTCCAAACGTCTGTCTGGTCACTGATTTCCGTCCAAAGGGGGAAGAGGTGGTTCTGAATGGAAAAGGAGATCCGGTCAATGTGAACTCTACTGATGCTGTTCTGTCAAAGGACAACACCTACAACTTTGCTGCTTACAGCAACAAAACCATCTATTCCTGTGAGATGAACGGGACCTTCGGCAACAATGAAGCTGGTACTAAACAAAGTTTTGTCTCAGTTTTGACCAAAACTGTTTCCTGCAGAAATAGAAATTATCCATTGCTGAATAAAGCTTATGTGATTAAATTATCTCTCTGTTAGAGTTTTCATGTTTATGTGACTGATGTTCTTTCTGTTTCTAAGCAGATGATGAATGTGGGAGCTTTGATGCAGGTGAGTCTGATTTCTTCCTGTCTCAGTTTTGTTCCATCACTGATCGCTGCTGTCAGTCTGAACTCTGTTTCTCTGTCATCCAGAAAAAGCCAAGCTGAACTTCTACCTGCTGCTGATGAACGGAGTGAGAGTGGTGTTCACCAAAGCTCTGGCCTTCAGCACCGTCCTCACCATCAGAGGCCTGATCTTCTGAAACTGACCACCATAAAAAAAAAAATATATATATATATAAAATAGAGATTAAGTTGAACTACTAGGGAGGAAATAATATAAACTCTTAAATATTTAGTTTGCTTTCTTTTTAAATACAGGGAAATAAACATTTTGAAATACACAGATTTTATAATGTTGTATATATATATAAAAAATATGTATGTCATTAATTCTCTATTACTGTAATTGAAAAAATAAAATTGCAAAACTGCCATCTCTTTTGGTCACTGTAAAATGTCATATATGTCAAATTTTCAGTAATTTTTAATCATTTGTCCATATTTTTGCAAAAAACATTTGTAAATTAAAAATTCTGATGAACAGAAGTGACCCTTTTATTTTGCTTTATAATTTAATAATTGAGGGGAGCAATGTTGTCGGAAAGCATTTCCCTACAGGCTTCTTCATTTCTGTCTTCAAGATCTGTCCTGAAATTATTCTCAGCTACTGAACAATAAACATGCTGTTTTATATTTTTTAACTGTCAAAAAGTCTGTCTTTATTTTTTTAACTCATGTATTGTTGAATAAGTAGAAACTTTGCTGTCATCATCGGAAAATAATCATTAAAAAAAGCAGATACCACTGGGTGTTTATTGTGTCACTTTAAGTTTACTTATTAGCATATTGCAAAAAAAGACAGATAGTTCTAAATATATATTTGAAAAAGGATTTCATTTTCCACGATGAACATTCTCTTAAGCAGCAACAAGATAATAAAACATGGATAATAGCAATGTTATTAAAATAGATGCTTTCATTATAGATGATGAATAGCACACAATGTGAACTTAAAAGCCAGACTTGATGCGTCTTTAGTTTGCTTTTAAAAATCTCCAAAATATAGAATAAATAGATAAAGAAAACCTAAAAGAAAACATCTGTTTTAAAAGTTAATACTGGATTGCATTTACAATTTCACAATTCATTCTTTTAAATTTTTTCTGAGTTTTAATGTTGGACACTTTATTCTGTTAGATTTACTAAATACCAGTATTTCAGTTCTAGAGAATAATAAACTCTTCAGGGTTTTATTGCTAAAATTATTCTTTTTTCATTCGCTCAGGGTCTTTTGGGGTTACAGACATTTTTTTTTTATATATATATATCTGGGAAACCAAGACAGCAATGAAATTCTCATCAGTAGAAACCACATTTGAACAGGAAGTTAAAGCTGTAGATGCAAATCTGCCTGAAACCAGATAGCAGCTCGGTTTCACGTCAACAGAGGACGCTTTGGTTAACCTCAGCCTTGCTTGTTTTTTCCTTTCACACAAGTTTGCATACATATTAGAGTGATTGGGTCTTTGCTTGCAATGAGTCAATATTCTGTTCAAAGACATTTTCATGATATGCCAATAAAAGAAAAGATACTGGCAATAACCATGTGACATTTGTGAAAATTTGCAAATGAAGACACATAAAACAGATGTGAAAAAAAACAACATCAGAAAATGCTACATTATAATGAACAGATGTTTTCTTGATTTGCTGCACTTCATAAAAAGAAAAAAAACAAGTTTTCTTCTTGGGTTTTTTGACTTCAGCAATTGCAGGTGTCAGCTGAGGCGTCTGTAAATAACATAACATAAACATAGTTAGTAAAAAATCATTAAAATGAAACCCATCTGATAACAAAACGAAGGCTTAATGATCGCAAAAGCCAACACCTCATGTTAGGATGACAAAGTCAGATGTCAAAGTTAATTAAAATGTTCAGTATGGAAAGTGGAAGTCAGTTTTAGAGATCTGAGGTTCGAGTCAGCTAAAGTGACTAATAGAGAAAATAGAGAAAATATTCTAACAAGGGGAACATTTTAGGAGCGTTTGGCCCACCAAAGTTACTCCAAAAGAGGAACAGCAACTCATCAAGAAAAACACAAAATAACTCACAATTCAAGTCCACTGTATTTTTTCCAAAATTACTCCTTGGCAAGAACATCAGAAGCACTGCACACTTCACTTACCTCAGTCAGTGTTCACAATTCAATACTAAGAAAAAGACTGGGCTTAAATTAATATTGAGATAACATTTTGTTTAGTTATTGCATTAAATTCACAATGAGTTATTACTAATTTCTTCAATAAAAAAAAGTATATATTTTTTATTTTTAACTTAAAAATTTAGGAAGTAAGAATACTAGTACAGAATTTAATCTGTCATAATAATATTGCTTTTTTAATTTTATGCAAAGTGAGCCGGCTTCTCCATCACTCAGCTATAAAAAGTGACTCACAAAACCAGCTGAGCTCATTTAGTTTTTACCCTGCAGGATGTGTCTTCAAATTCTCCTACTGCTGTTGGCAGCTGAATGTGAGTCTCTCTGGGTTTCAACCATATATTAATTTTCAGCTAAACATTCTTCACAAAAAATTTTTTTCACTTTTTCAACAGATGCGAGGTGTGAGCAGCTGACACAGCCAGCCTTGTTGTCTGTGCAGCCAGGTGACCATCTGACCATCAGCTGTCAGGTCTCGTATTCTCTGACCAGTGCCCGAACACACTGGATCAGACAGCCTGCCGGTAAAGGACTGGAGTGGATCTGTAGTGCACACATTGGGCATAGCACATTCTACAAAGAGTCAGTGAAGAGCAAGTTTAGGCTCGACTTAGACCAATCAAGTAAAACAGTGACTCTGAAAGGACAGAATATGCAGCCTGAAGACACAGCTGTGTACTACTGTGCCAGAGAGCCACACACAGAGACACAGACTATCGCCAGACCTGAACATAAAACCCTCAGTGCATGAAAAAAAACTTTTTTTTTTAGCTGAAAATGCAAAATTATGAGTTTGTACTTCAGTGAGCCTTTTGGTAATTTTAAATTTCTATCCATCAAAACAATCCCCAGAAAAAATAAACATGTCTTCTCTTGCTTGTTGACAACTCACATTGAATCTCCATTTTCATATACGATTTAGATGGATGGACGTGTGCATGGAATTTGTGAAGCTGAAACTTCAGAGCTAGATCCTCAACACATATACATGTTGTAACGTATGATTTAAAGATGTTACAAATAAACAGATAACAATGCACCTTAGTCACTTCATTTATAACAAACAATATTATTTACAGACAATGCTGTTTCCTTCAACGTGTGAAGGCATGGATGGCGATGGAATAGCTGTTGGAATAATAAGATGCACAATAAACCAGTCCTCAAGGGTCGGTGTCCTGCAGTTTTTAGATGTGCCACAGGTGCAAAACGCTGGTCAGAAGTGGCTTAATTACCTCCTCCTTGTGTAGATCGGTTCTCTAGAGCCTTGCTAATGACCTAATTATTCTATTCAGGTGTGGTACAACAGAGGCACATCTAAAAGTTGCCAGACACCGGCCCTCGAGGACTGGAGTTTGACACTCTTACGATTACGACGTGAGAAAAACTGCAGAAAAGAAATCACCAGAAGAAATGCTTGAAAACAGGAAATACCAAATACCATCATAATGTCTAACAATCGGAGCTGATCGAGTTGGATACAACTCATATTACAAAGACTCTCTTAAGAACCAGTTCAGTATCAGCTTATACTCTTCGAGCAAAACAGTGACTCTCAATGGACTAAATATGCAGCCTGACGATACTGCTGTGTATTACTGCACCAGATAGTCACACTGATATAAAACAACATGAGAGTTGAACAAACCCCCCTCCCTCAATCTTGTGCATATATTACATGCAGTCACTAGAGGGGGAGCTAGCACATTATATACAGTCACAGCACATAAGATCATACATAATACAAATCAGCAGTTCAGATATTTTATCAATTAATCTGTTTAATAAAGTAAAAACAACTGACAACCTGAAAATGTGATGGAACTAAGACTAATTATTTTAACAACCATAAGATTTGTGTATTTATAATTGGTTTTGCTGATAACATTTTGTTTAAATAAACAAACAGCACACTGTTTTCTTCATTATGACCAATGGATGTAGGAATTTTAAACTATACAAGGCTTCTTCATGTTATTAATAACAAACCTCTACAAAAAAAAGTTTTAAAAAATTGTTCAAATATCTTTGTAATTTCTTTAATGACCTGTAATGGATTTCTTCCTTATTCCATATAAACTTAGAAAAGTTTTCTTCATTCCTGTGTCACTGTCTGTTTTTAAAGCAAACTTTGTTTTCTTAAAATATGTGATCTTAATAATACTTCAGAATATAAACACCAATCATTTCATTTTCAACCCTAACATATTCTCTGTCCTATGAATCTCACTAAGAGAAGCAAACTAACAATGTGCTGAAATCCCTATACAAAGATTATTTATTGCTGTGCTGGAGATAACCTTTTACAAATGAAGGACTGTGAAAAATAGTACTTAGTTATATCAATGAGTTTGTAACAGTGGCTTTCACGATTTTAACACCAGCTATTAAAATTACTCAAGCTAAAAATAAGATTGATTGTATAATATTCAACTCTAAAACAAAAAAATCTGAGGAAAACTTACCTAAACTGATTTGAAGGTAGCTGATTATTCAACATGCAAATGAATGGGATTTAAAAGGAAGAGAGAGGTCAGCTGCTCTTCACATCTTCTGTCGGTTCAGCTTTAACATCAATCATGGTCCATTTACCTCTACTACTTCTGCTGATCACAGGACCCTGTGAGGAGCTTTCTGTGGAATCTGTCTGAAACAAACACCAGTCTCTCCATTTTTAGATGAATAACGCCGTTAATATTCTTCTGTTTGTCCACAGGTGTGTTCTCCATTGATCTCATCCAGCCAGACTCAAAAGCTTTGCAGCCTGGAGAGTCTTTGAGCATCACCTGTCGGCTCTCTGGTTATTCTCTCTATGATGGTTATGGAACAGGTTGGATCAGGCAGCGGGAAGGAAAAACAATGGAGTGGATATTTCATCAGTGGGGAGGAACAGGTGGTAGCCTTTACCAAAATAATGCTCTGAGAAACAAATTCAGTTTTAGCAGAGACATGTCTGCTGGAACAGTGACAATAACAGGACAGAATCTGCAGCCTGAGGACACAGCTGTTTATTACTGCGTGAGACGAGACACAGTGATGCAAATTGTAGAAAGACCTGAACAAAAAAACAAATCAATGACAAAACAAATTATCATTCAGCTGTGAGGATGATAACAATCAATGTCAACAATATCAAAACATAATTTGAATATCATGTTATATTAATTAGTCGCATTGATTCATTGAACGATGGCTTCCCATGTATGCCTGTAAACTCAGTCTGCAGTTAATCCAGGATGCTGTCAAGCTGTGGGACTTTAAATTTAGATCTGAAAACCAAAAGTTATCTGATCACTCTCTAATTATCATCTGTTGGCACTCTGACATATTACAACTAAGCAGCAGGTTGGATCCGACACCAGGTGAAATCATAGCAGCAGTAAAAATAGTAGGACAGAATCTGAAGCTTGAGAACTTGATGTGTAAACAGGAATTTTATGTATCAACTGGAGTGAACCTTAATTGTAGCACTGGACCCTTGCTGTAATATCAAAGATACTTCAGTCAATCATATTTTAGTTACAAAGAGTTTATTTCTAATATAATAAGTA